GTCCGGCACCTCTATCGTACGTTATAAGACATAGTTACACACGATTGTCATTGCTACACAACTCTCCCAACGCATGGGACATGAAATAATAAGCATGCCTTATGTTTAGCACATTCCTATCCTTAAAGTACTCTTGAAGGGAAAAATTTGAGCCTTAGTCCAGTCCCACACCCCTTCCGTAGTGTAAACATCTTTCTTTAGTTCATCCAGTACTTTATCCGGCGATTCAGCCCAAGCAAGTAACATAGAACCCAGCGGCTCGTTGAATTCACCATTAGATCGTTCACGAAGAAATGGTCCTCCCCAAAGCCAGAAATCATCAGGGTATGTACATAGATTAGCTAAGTGTTGTCTATTGTATATCAGTAGTATCATTAGGTCAAGTTGACGGTTTTAATGAATGTACTTACGGACGTAGTTTCCGTCTAAGCTCTAAAGCTCCTTCATGGTCTGGCAGAATTACGATCCATTCGTGTTTCTGTAGGTTGCGAGTGCCGCAAGAAAAGCGTGTAGCTTGAAGATAGAGAGGCGTAGAAACAACTCGAGCGTGTCTAAGCCGTCGACTGACACAAGCCAAGTTCAGCATGATCTTTAGTCAAGAGATGAATGTTGAATACGACCTTGCGCAAGGATTGGGATTGCATTTAAGATGTATATATAGCTGTTGTACTTCCATTGATATTCTTTCAAGTTTATTAAGATTAAAAGACTTCTTTCGACAACTACGATCAGACGTAATGTAGCAATCTTGTTCCGGCTCCTACTACGGTACCAATCGGATTTAAGATATTTTTAATTAAGACCAGGTTACACTGCTGCACGCAGCCGGAGACTCCGACAAGGGGGTCTAAATATATGAGAGAAATTATCAGGGTATTGTATGACGTTACATACTGCAAAAGCGGGGCAATGTGACCCACTCGGTGGGGAAAAACCTTATAATCTAGAAACATTGAATCGGATCGCAAGGATCGCGGACTCTATAACCCTTGTGGTCCAATCGGTCATTTTCTGTACGTAGGGATGGATGTTAGTCTGCTCTAGCCAAACTTAGTTGCCGTGAGCTATTACATCCAGCTATCGGTCCGTTTTTACAACTTTGGATCGTTCTGTAGTGTAAGAGGCTTTGAATGTAAGCCTGCGCTATCGCACTGGCTTCGCACCG